ATTTTCAAAACCGGGGGGTTGATCCACATATATTTCTTGATCAATAAAACCATTTAAAAAAGCACTTTTAATATCCATTTGAAACAATTTGAAGCCTTTAAAGCATGCAAAAGCAAGAAGCATTCTAATAGATTCTAATCTTGCTACGGGAGCAAATGTTTCATCAAAATCAATTCCTTCTTCTTGTGCATATCCTTTAGCAACTAATCTGGTTTTATTTCTTACAACAACACCTTTATCATCCAACTTATTTCTAAAAATCCACTTTGTGCCAATGATAGGTTGATTTTGAGGTCTATCAACAAGTGTCCAAACTTCATTTCTCTCAAATTGATTAAGTTCCTCTTGCATTGCCAAAATCCAGTTTTCATCCTTTAAAGCATCATTGATATTTTTGGGTTCAAAAAGAGAAACTAAAGCAAAATTGTCAATCAATTTTCTAGATGAGGAACGAGTGTTTACCTTCTCGGATGGATCACCAATTATAAGCTCTTTTGGATGATTTTGGCTGAATTTCCAAGCCTTGGGAAGATCTTTGAGTGGATCATCATTTTTGTCTTCATCTTCCTCTTCTTGATCATTATGAACTTCATTTTCCATTTCAGTTGCTGCTGGTTTAGAGCTTCCTTCATTTCCAATTGATAGCTTTTCCATTCCTTCTCGAACACCTACATCATCATCCTCACACGAACTTTTGGAATTATCATCATTGGTTTCATCAAATGTTATATGTATAGCTTCTTCAATCACAAGAGTCCTTCTATTAAAAACTCTATATCCTCTTTTATTCTCACAATACCCCAAAAATATTCCTTCATCAGATTTTTTATCAAACTTACCAAGATGTTCCTTTAGATTCAAAATAAAGCATTTACAACCAAATACTTTGAAATAACCAACCGTAGGTTTCTTATCAAAAATCAGCTCATAAGGAGTTTTCTTTAAAATAGGTCTCAAGAGTATTCTATTCATCACATAACATGCAGTGTTTACCGCTTCAGCCCAAAGATATTTAGGCAACCTACATTCATTCAACATAGTTCTAGCAGCCTCTTGGAGAGTCCTGTTTTTTCTTTCTACAACACCATTTTGCTGTGGAGTCCTTGCAATAGAAAACTCATGTGTTATACCATTATGATCACAAAATTCTGGAAAACCATAATACTTGAATTCCATCCCATTATCACTTCTAATCCTAACAATTTTTAACCCAAGCAGATTTTGCACTTTAGCAAACAATGAAGTAAAATTCTTGAAGGCATCATCTTTATGAGCAAGAAATATCACCCAAGTGTATCTAGAATAATCATAAACAATTACAAAACAATATCTTTTACCTCCCAAGCTAGTAATTTGAGTGGGACCAAATAAATCAAGATGCAAGAGTTCCAAAGATTTAGAAGTAGATACACACATCTTTGGTTTAAAGGAAATTTTTGTTTGCTTCCCAAATTGACATGCATCACATATTTTGTCCTTATCAAAACTGATTTTTGGCAAGCCTCTAACCAACTCCTTTTTCGAAATTTCCTTTAGTAAATCCATGTTAAAATGACAAAGTTTTCTATGCCACAACCAAGGATCTTCATTTGAAGCTTTAAGACATTTTAAACTAGAAGAATCAACTTTATCAAGAATCACAATATATGTGTCGTTAAACCTCTTCCCTTTGAACACAACATTATATTTGGGATCAAGTACAATGCATTCATGCTTTTTAAACAACACATACAAGTTTTTATCACACAATTGACTAACACTAAGCAAGTTATAACCTAAGTTATCAACTAAGAGTACATTATGAACAAAAGTTTCACCATCCTTACCAATATCACCTATTCCAATTGTCTTAGCTTTCACATCATCACCAAATGTCACATTTCCACTTGATTTTGATTTCAGCTTTATGAACAAAGAGGGATCACCGGTCATGTGCCTTGAGCAGCCGCTATCAATAAACCATTTGGACTTGTTTGATCCTTTTTCCTCATTATTTCCAATAGCCATGAAGGCCATTTGAGCTGATTCTTCTTCTTCTTCAACTTCCCCTTCGGAGTTGCATTCATTCCAAATAATCTGAAAGTTGTTGAATCTTGGCTTTCGATCAGCTTTTCCATCTTTCATCTTCTTCATGGGGCATTCATTTGCATAGTGTCCAATCTGTCCACATTCGAAGCATTTGTCCAACTGCTTCTTGTTGAAATCTTGTTTTCCTTTGTACTTTGCGATAGATGGCTGATTCTGGAATTGATTGTTAGGTCCTCCCCTTCTAAACTTTCTTTTATTCAAGATTCTCTTGAAGCCTCTGGTGATGAGAGCAAGATCATTATCATCACCATCCGAGTCTTCATCATCCAAGTGAGCAGTATCATCTTCACCTTGAGTAGTCTTTAGAGTAATGTTTCTTTTGCTCTAGCATCCTCTTCCTCCTGCACTTTAGATTTCAGTTTCAACTCATAAGAGGTTAGTGAGTTAATGATAGATTCAATAGGCACAGAACTTAAATCCTTAGCCTCCTCTATTGTAGTCACCTTATTTTCCCATTCTTTGCCCAACGCATTGAGAATTTTCCTGTTCTTCTCTCCCAAGGTGTACTCTTTGCCCAACACCTCGAGATCTTTGATCAAGTCAGTGAACCTGCAATACATTTTGTCAATATCCTCAAGAGGTTCAATTTTAAATGATTCATATTTTGTGACCAAGATAGCTTTTTCTTTCTTTCACGTTGTCACCACCCTCATGGATTTCTCTTAGTTTATCCCACATTTCTTTGGCCGATTTGCAGCCTTTTACTCTAATTGATTCATTTGAATCTAGGGCACTATAAAGAACATTCATGGCCTTGGCATTCAATGTGAGGTTAGTCCTATCTTGAGCATTCATTTCAGCTCTCGTTTTTTATCGAAGTGAACCTGTTCTGCATCAAGAAAGTTAGCTTCATGCGCGTCCTTCACTCACAATAAACCATAACTCAATATCAATAGATTGTAAAAAATAATCATCCTTTCTTTCCAGCTAACATAGTTGGAGCCACTAAACATGGGAGGCCTAGTAACAGATTGCCCCTCAACAAACATAGCATGACTGGTTGTCATCTTTACTCCAAGCCGTTAGAGCTTAATCTCAAGGAGACCAAGCTCTGATACCAATTGTAAGTCCCAAAGACAACCAAGAGGGGGGGTGAATTGGGTTGATTAAAATCTTAACCAAATTTATGCACTTTTTCTTTAATAAAAATTTACCTTCTTTTCTAGTAATGATCAACCAAATAGATTAGCAGACAAGAGCAATATTGATCAGAAAAAAACAATTATAGATAAGCAATGAGAATTTTATTAAACAGAAAAGTAAGATAGGGAATCAAATCAAGTGTCTACCAAGTTATCCTCAAACTTGAAGACCAATCACTGGATTGAGCAACTTCTCTTTGATGAAAGAAGATCAACTAGATGTACAATGGAGGGAACACTTCCTCCTTGCCCTAAACCTCACTTAGTCAAGCTAAGAAGTTTTACAATCACTCAGAAAACCCTCAACAAAGCTACACTAAAGACCCTTTCAACCACAAAAGAAATGCTCATAAGAAGTTCACACCACTTTCAAACAAATCTCGCTTTGAAAACTATTTTCTCGCTAAAATATCTCTTGAGATCTTGCAAACAAAGTGTGCAAAAGTCCCTGCTTGGTTCAGACCAGTTTGATTTTAAAGGGAACCAGAAATGGGTTTCATCAATGCTTCCAACGGATAGAAGGCAGCTGAAGAGTCAACTAGCCGTTGGGGCTGTCGGACGTCCGACGATCAAATCATCGTCCGAACCAATCGTCCGATGATAGCCAAGTTGAAGTTCGGACGTCCGATGTGTTTGTTTCGTCCGACAGCACAGCGTCCGATCGTTGGCAGAGAGTTGGCAAGTCATCTTGGAATTTTTCGAACGTCCGATGCGGTTGATGTGCGTCCGATGGCAAGCGTCCGATCCTTCCGGACGTCCGATGCTTCCTTATGAGCGTCCGACAGAGCTTCCTTCTTGATATTCTTTATCCTTTCGGACGTCCGACAGAATCCTTTCGAACGTCCGACATGAGTGTCCTGTTTTTGCTTCTTCTTTTGGTTGATTTGCATCTCATGTCATATTCGTACCTGATTCTTTGGTAAGCAACAACACTTATATTTGAAGAAGGTTAGATAAACAATTCAAAGTATTTTGTGATCATTATAACAAAATTGTCACACTTAAAAGACTGTATCTTTGATCGAAACAAAACAATAACTAAATTTGTTTATATTATTCCAATCTTGTTTGCCACATCCAAAGCATCGTAGACTGGAGTCAATCAAACATATGCTTTCCTTGTTCCATCAGGCCTGATCAAAGTGTTCACTTTCTTGGTCTGTATAAACATTTCAACGAACTTTTGTGATCATCAAAACCAAGAATAACATATCCTATTGCTCACGGACTTTCTATTTATAAGGATAAGAATCTTCTTTCTAATATGATTCTAATAATTTATAATACTACTTTTTTTTAAATAAGAAATAATTTTTTTTATTTCATAAATGAATTTGAAGAAAACAGAGCAAGCAAATCAGGTTGCTGAGTACACAATCCATCCATGGATTTTAAGGACAGGTTCATATCAACAGAAGCTATGAAAGATGTGCAACTTTGCACAATAATTCACACCCTCTATCATGTTAAGTTAAAGCAAATTCATAGCCAGGTAAGTCTGCATTTTGTTGTTTTCTGTTGTATTGTTTCCCAGGTGACAGAATACTTAGTTGCTGAAGCTTTTCATTTTCTGCTTTCTTAGTTGTGAAACAAGCATTATCCTGTTCCAGCTGAATTTCTTTCTTTTACACGGTATCCGTCTCCGCAGATATCATTTCGTGTAGAAATCCGTATCTTGCATGGTCCTGCCACTCAGATATTGTCCAGATGACCAAAGTTAAGCTTTTGTTCTACCCTGCCCAATTGAACAATTTACACTCAGCATAAATGTCATGAATGCTCAATGCTATAATTTTGCAGTTTGATCTCATTGAGATTGGATTCCAACAATAACTCCAAAAAATCAGCATCTCCAGATTCTCTTGCCTGCATAGCTAAGCTCTCACTCTGGTATTGCCGTTGTTTGGCAAAAAACCTCGTAGGGAACATGACCAAAGTCCCAGAGCTAAAGGAATATGAATGCCTCCTAACTCAACAGGCGCAAATTAGGGTAACCTAACTTATCCAATCTGATGTCCCCGGCGACCAACCTTGGCAATTGCGAAAACGAATCATAAACAATATTAGAACCTAACTCCGTCCCAATCTTAGATAGCCGGTCTGCAGGAACATTTGCTTGACGATAACAATGGGTGACGGAATGAAAAAATTGTCGAAAAACTAGCAACTCATCCAACTCTCGTTGCAAACCCTATGGGCATCTACTAACCCCCTTAACCATTTGGACTAAAACCAAAGAATCAGATTCCAAGTGCAAGCAACTGAAACCTCTGAAAACACACATCTTAACTCCAAATAACAAAGCCTTCAATTCTGAATGTAAGCTAGATGTCTCTCCCCAGTAACACGTAAAGCCTAACAAAAATGTTCCCGCATATCCCTCAACACCCCACCTCCACTCCTTCCCGGATTCCCCAACGAGCAGCCATCAGTGTTCAATTTAAAAATGTTCAAAACAGGAGGAATCTATCTAACTAAGATGACCTTATTCGGTTTCTTCCATCCAACCAGTGAAGCATAAAATCTTGGCCACGAGTATCTCCCAACTTCTATGTCCTTATAATGCAACTGGAAAATATCACAAAGATCTGAAAAAACAAACCTATGCACTTGCATGGCGTTCAGCACCTTCCCTTCCCACAATGTTACATTTCTTGCTTTCCAAAGATGCCAGCAAATCAGCGATGGCAATACCTGATAAAGAAGTCTAAGTAACTTGTTCTTAGCAGGCCGCAGCCACCACTGAATAATTGTATGTTTTATCATTGAAGGAGTGGCAAACGCACCAACCTCGACTTGAAACGAGACCCAAACCTGTCGAGAGATTTCACCAACACACAAAACATGATCAATCGAATCCAAACCAGGATTTTCACAACAAAAACATCTTGATGGTCTGCACACACCCAAACGTTGTAACTCTTCCATCAGAGGTAGTCGACTAGACAACATCCTCATCATAAAAAAAGAGATTTTTGCTTGTAGAGCTTGCAACCAAATATTAGTTGAGAAAATTGAAGTGTTAGAAACCTTTCGGAACAGATTATACGCAGAAGAAATGGTGAAGAAACCTGAAATATGTGAATCCCACACCATCCTATCAGGCTACTAGAATGAACATCAAGAGGTGGTATTTGCATAATCATAGAGACAATATTTTCCGGAAGCCATTGACGAAGCATTTGAGCATTCCAATGACCATTAAAAACAAAATCTGCCACTCTATGATTGCCAAAGGCCTCAACCCGCTAACACAAATGACCTTTACCCATCCAATTCTCATGCCAAAACTCTACCAAGCCATTCTGCAACAGCTACTGAATATGAGGATCTGCCAAAGACTGGCACTTGACTAATCTCTTCCAAGTGCACGATTGCAAAGTTTGAAACTCCGCTTCACAAGAATGCAAATTATATAAGTATTTAGAGTGCATAAATTCTGCCCAAAGAGATCTACGTTGTCTTAAAGACCACCATAACTTCAACGAAAAAGAGTCAAACACATCAGATAAAGCTCTCACTCCCACCCCCCTTCCGCATATGGCTTACACAACAACTCCCATCTAATCCAATGATATCAATATCCCCTCTCATCCCTTCCCCACAAAAAATTCACAAAAGCTTTCTCAAGGATACTTAGAACACCTTTTGGAGGAGACGATACAGCAAGGATATGAATCGGCATAGAAGGCAAAACACTTTTGAGTAACACCAACCTCCCTCCAGGCGAAAGAAGCTTCTCCTTCCAAGAGAAAATTCTCTTTGCAATCGAGGTACAGATATCTGAGAAATAACTACTTTTCGTTCTCCCAGAATAGCCCAGATATTTAATCGGGAATGACTTGGCATGAAAATCAGAGATTTGTGAAATAACACGTTTACGAGATACACTCAAAGCATCGTGATCAATAAGCAACTTTTTTGACGGTTAAGCTGCTGCCCAGACACACTACAATAGTCCTCTAATACCCTCATAACTTTCTGCATAGTACTCTTAATTTCACTACAAAAAATAATCACGTCATCCGCGTGACCTAAATACGTGACTATAGGGCATCTAGGAGGAACCTTAAAAGGAAGGAAACCTGACTGACCACTCAACAAATTCAGCATCCTAGATAATACTTCAACCCCTATAACCAAAAGAGCCGGCGAGATGGGATCTCCTTGACGCAAACCCTGAGTTGATTGAAAAAAATCACAGGGGAGGCCATTAATAAGAATCAAAAACCAAACATTGGAGATTAACTGCCAAATCATATCAATCCACCGCTCACCAAAACCAAACCGTCGTAGAACTTGCAACAAAAAGAGCCAAGATACTTTATCATAAGCCTTGGCCATATCCAACTTTAAAACTACATTTCCTCTACGATTAGATTGCCGAATTCCAGAAATTAGCTCTTGAGCTAGCAAAAAATTATCTGAGATTTGCCTTTCTTTCACAAAACCACTTTGCTGTGGCGAAATAATCTTAGGGAGAACCCGAGCCAATCTATCAAATAAGACCTTCGAGACCACCTTATTTATGAAGTTACACAAACTTATCGGACGGAATTGTGAAAAATCTTGAGAATTTACCTTCGGAAGCAACACAATTGAGGTTGAAGAAATACTCCGTGGCAGCACCTCACCACAAAAAAAAACTAACCAGTGCCGCATATAAATCCTCCACCACGATATCCCACGCACAAGTAAAAAACTTACCAGAAAAGCTGTTCGGGCCAGCAGCACTCTCACCATCCATAGCAAAAACCACCGACTTAACTTCTTCTATGGATGGAATCTCCTCCAAATTCTCATTATCTTGAGCAGTAATTAATTTAGGGATAACATCAAGAATATCAAAGGATTCAATATAGGACTCAGACGTGAACAAGCTTCTAAAAAAAATTCTACCTCCCCTTCAATAGCAGAAGTTTTTTCTAATCATTTTCCACTAGTCGACTTGATGTGATGGATTACAGATTTACTTCGGCGTTTGGCTACCACAGAATGAAAATATTTAGAATTCCTATCCCCATCCTTTAACCACTTAAGCCTAGCTTTCTGTTGCCAGAACATATGCTCAACTCCATGAGAACGCCTTAGCTGGGCCTGTGCTTCATGTAACTCAACTAAATTGGCTTCAGATGCGTCATCATCATAACTCAACTCAGCTTTAAAAGCACGTTGTTCCGCCACTTTCACAGATTCAAAGATATCACCAAACACGTTGCGGGACCAAATTCGTAATGCTGCCTTTACTTTCCGAAGCTTTTGTGCAAAGATGTTTAATAGTGGGCCTGAAAATCTCCTGTTCCATTGGCATTTAATAACGTCTAACAACTCAGGCTTAGACGTCCAAAAATTCATAAAACGAAATGGCTTAGGCTTATCGTCCAAATTTGTTACAGCCGATAATAGCAATGGAGCGTGATCCGAGGGGTCTCTACACAAATGTTGAACGCTAAATTTCAACCCCAAGCTTGATGCACTCTGATTCATAAGCAACCTGTCTAATCTCTTCCATATATGCACCCTGCCATGTCTATTATTGCACCACGTAAATCTTGACCCCGAGTACCCCACATAAAAAATCCCAGCCTGAGACATGAAGTCCAAAAAATCCCAGCCCTCCTCTGGTCTAAACGGCATCCCACCCTTTTTTTCCTCCGCCGAGACAATAACATTAAAATCACCCACAATAAACCAAGCAGATTGCTTCGGTTTGTCGACAATAAGGCTATTCCATAATTGGACTCGTTCATGGGCCGTGCACTTGGCATGAACAAATGAGAAGATGATAGGCAACTCAAATAATGCGGAACTAATTTGTAATGACAAATGCTAACAAGATTCACCAACTAGACTACAGCTAATAGAAGAATTGTAAAAAACCCAAATGTCACCTGCAATATTAAAGATGGTGTGATCCATATTAAGTCTCATCCTGATTGAATGGATCTCTGCAGCTTGAATTTTTGGTTCGCAAATAGCAACCAATTGAATGGAGTGGTGGTGTACCAAATACTTCAGTCTACGAAAATTTGGGGCATGCGACACACCCCTTATATTCCAAAATAAAAAATTAATCATTGAGACAAAGTAGAAAAAGAATTCGAAGAAGCCTTAGCTTTGGATCGCGATGAACGATCATATTTAAATTGAACCCGAACTCCTTTCTGCTTGCCTTGTGACACCACATGAAAACTTTCCTTATGCTGGATCTTATCATTGACCTGTTGAATGATCGGATCGAGACTAAAAAATCAACAACCAAAGATGAGCTCGTAATATGCAAATCATCCACCACACCTTGAGCATGTATATCTTCATCCACCTCTTTTTCCCCCTTCGAAACACTAATCAGTCCCTCATCTATGCGGGTTGGGACAAAAACTTGCTGCTCAAAACTCTGCTTCGGATCATCTACAGGACAGGGTTGCTCAACATTATCTGTACCAGCCAAAAATTCCAAATATTCCGTTTGCTTGTCTGGAAATTTGTCTCCCAACTCTTCAAGTGCATGCTGAGGCACCATTGGCTGATTATCAGAACATGCACCAGTAGCAAGTTCTTTAGATAAGTCAATACAAATTTTAGGGCAGTCTCCATCAGCAGCACATTCTTCATCAAGAGTCGTAACTTTGGGAGCTGCCGAAATGCCTTCCTTATCAACAGCATCCACCTTATCCTTCTTAGAGTCATCCACCTTATCAATGATGTTATTTTCCACTCCTTGTCCAGGTTGTTCACCCTTACCGACAGAGCCCAGAACAGACGAAGACGGAGGTTGAAAGGCCAAATTGCCTTCATTTTTCTTGGAAATTAACGGCCTCTCAGATTTGAAATCCGGATGAAGCACATGACAATAATCCTGGGTATGTCCTTGTCTAAAGCAATGAGAACAATACTTAGGCATATTTTCCGGAATTAAAGCTTGCCAGAAACCTTCATGATCACCATTACCAATCCACACCCTCTGAGTAAGTTGTTTTAACAAATCTATTTCAACACAAACCCTAGCAATGCTCGGCCTTGAAGCCGCCATGGTTGCAGCATCAACAAACAATGGGCTCCCCAATACACTCACAATTTGGAATAAGCATTCTTTGTTAAAGTAATGCAACGGCAATTTTGGTAATTTAAACCAAACAGGAACCACAGAAGGCTCCTTGTCCACATGAAATGTAGGAGACCATTTAAACACATGCATTGAAGCACCATATACATACCAATGCGGAATTACGAAAAAGTTTAGAAAATGATTTCTTCTGGAATGTGGGAGAAAGAAGAGGATGTCCTCCAACCTGGGGCTGGAGGACAGCCTGATTAGCCATCAAAGGCTAGTTGCTAGACAATCTTGAAAAAAATCTGCTTGAGAATGGAATCCAATGTAAAATATGGTATCCGAGAGAGAAAAAGCTTAATAATACTACTAAATAAGAAATATCGTCTTAAATAATCAACAATTCCTATTCCTATAAAAAAATGAACAATTTGTTCCTATTGATCAGCAAGAATCCCAACTGCGGGGTCCACATCCAATCTCATGACATCCAAACTTCTCAGCAGAATAAGACGTAGTCGCATCTTGTAGAACATAGTCTTCTGAAATTTCACATTTAATGCACCTTTTATTCTCTTTCTACTACAAATTCCTTGAAAGAACACTAACAATTAAATATGAGTAGAATTTAACAATTAACACTATATTTTAGCAAAATAAAGGGGAAAATATTCACAAATCAAGTGCACAATTAACCATCTAACAAACACCATAATACTAGACATAAAAATCATTTTTGAAACATGAACATAATCATGTTGAAAATTATTCAATCCATCACTCAAAAATCAACTTGAAATACATGTTTTAGACAGACATAAGCTAATTACTAGCCATCTTTAACAAATTTCTGAGAGTTATGTATAAAAATTTAGGTCTACAGAATTTACATATTGTAAATTATTCTGGCTCTAGCTTCATACAAAATCAATGGTATTTGATTTCCAATTTCCTCCTTCAATGCAATATTTCCAAATACCAAAACTTGCTTAGCCCATTATATGAATTTCTACATTTGGAAACTCTTAAAAAAGGCTTTTCAAAATAATTCGATTCTCATTTAAAAATTTGCAAAACTCTTTCTTAACTTCATATATATTTCTAGAAAGATTTAATCACTTTTATACCCTTCAAAATCTGTTTACTAAGTTACCCAAACTAGCAAAAAAAAGTAAATCTGCACACCTATTTTCTTTAATTTAAGAAACACTTTTAAATTCTTTAGTAAATCCTCAAAATCTCAATATCCAAGATAGGTTCACTTATAAATCGTACTTTTGTCTTGGAGACAACTCTTCAAGAGTTGTTGGTTCATGCACAAAAATATCAACTACTAAACCTATCCAACTTCCAACAGTTTTGAAAACTCAAATTTAGTTCTTCTAGACCCATATGAAATGAAGTTAAATTAAACTCTACTTATCACTAGCAAGTGCATGGATCACATATAGGCAAGGCAAGTATTTAGATGTCGTGTCCTACAAAGAAGATTTAATCAAGTACTAACATTTATCAAATTTCTTTATTATTTAGACTGCAAAACTCATGAATACGGCAAATAAAGAACAAAACTAATTCAAACTAAACTTAACCAAGAATAAACAATTCTCAAGGTTTAGATTTTTCAATTTTTCTAGCCAAAAATCTTATCTTGGTCAATTAATTATCTCTTATGCTAAACTATGGTAAAATTTTCTAATTATGTAAAACCTACTTTTTGCTAGTGAATCAACTACATCAATAACAAGGAGTAATCTACATTCATGATCTAAACCAAGTTAAAGATTTATTAGGATTAAGAGATTGTGCAATTATCCTCTAAGTGTTTCTCTACTTTTGTGGATAAATTACTTAAAGTTTATGTTTTCATTAACTAGTATTAACTAATTAACACCTTTGATGCTTCACAAATAATAGCCAATTAATTGCAAAGATGGAAACAAAGGACATAAAATAGCATGCATAATATTGATCAACTAAAATAGAATATAAATTAAGCAATACTTGATTTCATCTAACCCTAAGAAGAAGCAATTAAGTAAACATAATTTAATTAAATAAAAATAGCAAATAACATGGAATTAATTAAAAGGAAAAGAAGAAGAAACTCTTTTTCCAAAACAAGTGAAAAGCTCCGTATTCTTCTTTCAATGTTCATCAAAATTTGTATAATAATAATGAAAATCTAACAAGAAGAAAAATAATAGAAACTAATCTAACCTACACTAACCCTAAAATCTATAAGTTATTGGGAGATCTACATTATTTATAGATACTCTACCCACAACCTAGATAAAACCCTGTTGTGAAACCTACTTTTGCCAATGAATTAATGATATCAATGACAATGAATAGTCTACTTTAATGAACAAAAACAAATTAAAGAGTCATTAGAATCATAAGATTGTGCAAAAACCCTTTATGTGTTTCTCTACTTTTGTGAGTTACACAATAAAGTTCATACCTTTTCAATTAATATTAATTAAAACTCTATTCATCAATATCTGTGCGCAATGCCTTCACAATGATGAAAAAATTTGGAGTATTCGAGGAAGATGTCTATCCATACTGGAGTGATAGTACAAAATCCTATCATTCCATTTAATGCCATGGATCAGGGTTAGAAAATGTTCATCAATCTTCATTGTGTTATGTATTGATAGTAGATTAGAGGAGAGATGATAATGGAATTGATTGCTTTTTAATAAAGAATTCATGGGTCCATGTTTTGGCTTCCATGGTTATGTGAAAGTGGATAAGAGCTTGATAGTTGGATTTGCGTATCTAGTAAGCTCGATTCAGGAGTGTGAGGTTCATTAGCAGGGTCTGGAGAATTTTATCTCTAGTATTGTCCCTTCAAGGTCAGATCGAGGTGCATGTGAATATAGTATTTAGTCTCTAGTCATTGTTTCTTCAGAGTTTTAGGATATAGTCTGCAACTGCTCCACTCCTTAGCTGTGAACTTAATGAATATCCATTCTTCCAATTGAAGGAAAGTTTTAAAACTGTAAAAAAAATTAAAAAAAAATAAAATCATTACTTGGATACTTTACAACTATAAGCCTTTTAGTTGTAAAGATGAAAAACAAAGGTATAAAATAGCATGGATGATTTACCAATTAATCAAGCAAGATCATAAACTATGGAGTAATTGAATCTATATAATCCTAGAACAAGTGATTCATTACACATAATTAAATTAAACACGAACACAATAAAACAAAATAGATATATATATTGTTCATTAAAAATTAAGAAAGAGAAAGAAAAATCTTATCCAAGATAGGCATGAAATTCCATCTTCTTCTTCTTCCAATTTTCAATAAAATCCCTAACTAAGATAAAGAAGAAGAAAAGTTACTCTATATATACTAACATAAAAACTACTTTACAATAGAGATCTATATTATTAGTAGACTCCAGCATATGCTTAAAGTTCTCAAATTTATCCATGTAATGCTCCTTTTATACATGAAAAGAATTGAAAACTGATTGGGAAGAGAAAACCTTATTAGAATTGGATTTCGACTATTTAGTCCTTAATTTGAGATAGAAAAAACTCGATAAAGACAATCAAATCAGCTCTTGAGTAAAAGAGAAAATTTATAGAAAATTGAATAAGATTTTCAATAGTTTAACAATTAACTCATTTGAACATCTAAGTATAGAGATATATCCAAAATACTATAAATTGGTCATAAAACAATTCTAGAAGTTAAAAAATATATATAGTACTAGGTGTCGCGCCCCATTTTTGGAAAAATGAGAAAAGAGTCGTTTGAAATCATGTAGTGTGTAAAATATATGAAGTGTGTGAATGTGAGAAATAAAAGAAAGGGCTATGGGACTTTTAAATGCGACGGTTTGGCCAAATTGATAATCTAAAAAGGTTTTTAAACGGAAAAGTAGTAGTCGCCACTTGGTATTGAGTTGGGATGTACCAAGTCACCCAAAAAAAGTAGTTTTTGAAAAAATGAAGTAAAAACCTTTTTAGATGACTCCTAGTCTACGAAAATAAAAAAAAAACGAGTTCGGGGGTCACAGTTGATAAAAGGGAAGGCAAAGACGAAATCTAAGACACCCATTTACCCTAACTTAAGCTAGTTGCGTGATTTAATCATAATTTTCCTTATTTCTAACCAAAAGATGTATTGCATTTGGATGTGTCTAATATGAATGCAAACCCAAATCTAATGATTGGTTCGAATGGGACAAAATGTCTCTTTTGAGGCTCGATTGGTCCTAATCACATGAATTGTGATAGCCAATTGTGAATCCTCAAAGAGGTCACGAATAAATGCAAATGAATGCGCGAGTAATCATGAGAAAAATGAGAGTGTGCGAAAATGTCTTTGAGTGTAAAAAATGAGTGCCAGGTGCAAATGTGCAAAGTACAAGTGTGCAAGTAGGTGTGTAAAGTGTAGGTGTGCAAGTGGGTGTGTAAAGTGCAGGGGTGCAAATGAGTATGAAAAGCGTGCGTGTACAAGTGAGGGAGAGTATAAGGTGCAAGTGTGCAAATGAGTATATAAAGTGTAAAATGTGCAAATATGAGAGAGTGTAAAGTGAGAGTGTGCAAAATGATAGAGTGGATAAAGTGATAGTGTGCGGAATGAGAATGCATAAAGTGAGAGTGTGTGAAGTGATAGAGGGTAAAGTGGTAATGTGCGAAGTGATAATGTGAAAAAATGATAGTGTAAAGTGGGAGTACGAATGATAATGTGCCTTAGAAATGCATGAGCCCTAGAGGAATGCAAGCAAAACGGGTACGGGGAGACCCTAAATCGTGACTTTTGATTTGCCTTTTAGTTACAAAGAAAACAAGCGTGCTAAGGCTATGTATAGCCATACTCGTCTGTTTCCCTTACCAGAAGGGTAACTCCTTAAATTAAGCAGGCAAATGACCCTAATAACTAGAATGAAATGCAAAAAAAATCCTAAAGATCATACTTAGAATGTGGGAAAAGGGGAAAGGATCATGCAAA